AATGTTCTGGGATTCCCATTCTTCTCAGAGTCAGCCACAGTTTGTTATGATCCATACAGTCAAATGCCTTTGCATAATCAAGAAACACAGATAGACATTCTTCTGGTATTCCTTGCTTTCAGCCAAGATCCATCTAACATCAGCAACAAATATCCCTAGTACCACGACCCCTTCTAAACCCAGCCTGGACTTCCGGCAATTCTCTGCTGATGTGCTGTTCTAGTAGTTTTTGGATAATCTTCAGTATAATCTTGCATAGTTTTTCTTTATTCTACTACATGATACTACAAAGTATCTCAATAAAATTAGCCTTTTATAAAATGAAACTGGTGTTGGGTCTTTGTTTAACTTTACAGATAAATTTACAGAATGAAACACAGTTATAATTTTCTTTTATTATTACTAAATTTATAACTTTTCTCAAATTTAAACATTACCTGAAGCAATAATGGTCTTAACTCTGTAAGAAGATAAGCAATTAATAGAACAGAAAAGCTCTGTTTTTCCTGAGTCATTTGTAGTCTCTATCATTTCAGCTGAGGGTCTCAATGATTTCCCCAAGGCATATGGAAGAGTCTGGGCTGAATTCTATTAAGAAAACAAAACAACATGAAACCCTGTACAGGCGTACATATATATAAGCTGTTTAAAAAAAGAGAATAAAACCACCCATAAACATAGCCTTTCACTTACTTGAGAGTAACAAAGAGACCTTACCAAGTATTGGACTTTTCTACAAATCTATAAAAATATTCTTTCAAGCAACGATATCTCTTCTCGTGCAATTCACAACCTCTGAAAACCCCTGGAGGCTCAGTTATGAGTTAATTCCAATTCCACAGTGAGGGGAAAAAAGATACTATCCTAGTAAGTATATTAGTAATAAAATACATTATAAGTTAAAACAGACTTTTCTCATCTCAAATAATCAGAGAAGATCTGGTCACCCATCAACCAAAGGGTCCTCCTCAATATAGACTTGGATGAAGTCTACCACCTTTAACATTACTTAACTTTCAAGGCTCTTTACTAGGACGAGCTAGTAATGATGTTTAAGATACACTTACAGAAATGCTGCTTTTCAGGCTGAATTGCATAATAAAATTTGTCTTAATGTTCATTTATGTTTAAGAAATCATGACTACTGGGGGCGGGGGGGGATTGTATTTTTTCTTCTACTTTTCAAAGAGAAGAGTAATGTAACAATGAATGAATGGAAATCCAAAGTCTCAGTAAACGTTCATTAAAATTAATTATGAAAAAAGTAATCATGACTACTATTTATATAGATTACCTTCTAACAAAATACCAGTTGCCAAGTGGATTCCAACTCACGAGGGGTCCATGCATGTCAAAATGGAACTATGTTCCACAGGGCTCTCAATGGTTGACTTTTAAAAAAAAAAAAAATGATCTTTCTTCTGAGATGGCTCTGGGCAGACTTCAAATCTGCAACCTTTTGGTCCATGGCCCAACACAGTTTGGATCACTAAGAGAATCCTTAATAATATGCCACTGCCATGAAGTTGATTTTGACCCATAAGGACCCTGCACTGGGTTTCTAAGGCTGTAAATCACCTTTCTCCAGCACAACTACAGAAGGATTCACAATACCAATCTTTCAGATCTCAGCTAAATACATTACAACACTATGTCACCAGGCTCATTCCTTAACAACACAGTGAGGTGCTGAAATAAAATTTTACTTAAAAAGTTTTAATTTAACTTTAAACTTCTTTTAAAAAAAGGAGTCAACTTATTTCATCTCATTCTAAAGCTCATGCTTCTAATCACTGCACACACTGCCAATAATCACAATATAAAGCTTCTCGATAAAAAATTATATGGGGATGCAAACAGCAAGAAAATAAAAATAGTGATGTTTCACTATAGAATCTCCCCGGTAAAAGAGGAGTATCATTTATGCAGTTGATAAGAGTATAATATCAGTAACAAAATTAGGACTGGAGCTAGTTTTTGGATCATATATAAAAGAACATGGATTCATTTCCTGTACAAATAGTACCTAGACTGCCAAAAGTGACAATTACTAGAAAAAATACTTTTCAATGATGAATGAGAGCTTTTTTTCTGATCGTACAACTGTCTTGTCATCTCTGTATCTGAAACAGCAGCTTTCTTTCCCTGCCAACCTTGATTAGTCAGCCCCATAGACGACTCTCTCCTGAGATGGAATCTTGACACCTAGGACTCACCAACCTCTATAAGCCCATGAGCTATTTCCTTGAAATAAATCTCTCCAAATCTAAATAGATAAATATGTATCTGTAGGCAACTTATAGGTCACCTACAATCTGTAGTGAGAAGGATGGGCAATCTACTCTCATGCAATTAAGTGTCTCTGAAAATCCATTGGAGGATCAGCTATGGGTGGATTCTGATTCTACAGTACACATAACAACATTATATATTATTTATAATGGGGAGTGCAGGAATCGTGGCAAGCTTTGGAGTGGACTGCTTTTCCGGGAATGTGTTTGACGTGCAGGTTTGCTCTGTCCCTGGAGTGAGGCTAGCCAGCCTGGGCCTAGGGTTTGAACCAGGAGGCGGCCTTAAGCCAAAGGAATCTGGGAAGGAAGCGGCCATGTTGTTCCTGGTTTGGCTGGCGCCTTCACAGGCTCGTGGGAAGCTCTCCTTGCCAGAAGGCAGGAGCTGGTGGTGGAGAGTGCAGGAATCATGGCAAGCTTTGGAGTGGACTGCTTTTCTGGGAATGTGTTTGACGTGCAGGTTTGCTCTGTCCCTGGAGGCTAGCCAGCCTGGGCCTAGGGTTTGAACCAGGAGGTGGCCTTAAGCCCAAAGGGCCCTCGGGCCTGTGGCCCTCAGCCCAGGTTCAAATTGTCTTCCTGTCAAACATTCTTCTAGGTGGTATAGCACTAGTCTGTGCGTTGCTGTACAGAGGTAACTCGTGGTTGCTGTGATGCTGAAGCCTGTGACAGTGATGTGCCAATCGTGGTAATGGGCACCCATGGTGGACAGTGTTGGCTGGAGCTTCCCGACTAAATCAAGCCTGGAAGCAGGAGCGGCATCCACTTCCAAAATGGCTTGCCTCTGGAAACTCTATGTACGAACAGTGCTCAGGCTGTTCATTCATAGGGTTGCTACGAGTCGCCTACGACTCGATGGCATTAAACAACAACATATACATATATATATATGATTTCTAGAAGAGAAGATTTCAAAGGGCAGCTCATCATGAAGATAAAGCAGCAAAGTATTATAATGAACTGTACAAAGAGCTGGAGTCGGAAAATCACAAAGGCCAAACTTGCTCAGCATTTCCTCAGCTGAACAAATTCAAGCCTCGAGTTGCAATACTTAAAGACGTTATGGGCAGAACAGTGAAGGATCCAGGTAGTGTTAAAAGAAGACGGAATGACTACACAGAGTCACTGTAGCAAAAAGAACTGGATGACACAAAAGAATTTCATGAAACAACAACCTATGATCAAGAGGCAATGTGATGAAGAAGGAAGTTCAAATTATTCTCAAGGATTTAGTAAAAAACAAGGCCCCAGGAATTGTTGGAATAACATTTGACATATTCAACAGACAGACGCTGCTCTGGATGTGCTGACCAGGTTGTGCTAAAAAAGGTGGAGGACAACTAATAGAAGGGATCCATATATACTTCCATTCCAAAAAAAGGTCACCTGTAGAGTTTTATCAAACTATGTCACTAGTACTACACACAGCAAAATCCTGCTAAAGATTATTCAAAAATGACTAAAACCGTATATAGACAGAGAACTACCAGAAATATAAGCCAGGTTTAGAAGAGGGTATAGCACTAAAGACATTATCACCAGTGTCAGATGAATCTTGACTGAAAGTAAAGCACACCAGAGGAATGTACTATGTTTCACTGATGTTGCAAAGGCATTTGACTGTGTGGATCACAACAAACTGTGGCTAACCTTTAGGAGAAAAGGAATCCCAGAACCCTTGATTGTGTTCATGTGAAACCCATACTTGGACCAGGAAGTAGTCCTCAGAACAGAGCAAGGAAACACTGCATGATTCAAAAACAGGAAAGAAGTGTGTCAGTGATGTGTCCTGTCTCAATCTGAATTCAGATCATTTGTGAAGCTGGACTTTATGAGGAGGAATGTGGCATCAGGATTGGAGGAAGACTCATCAACAACCAGGGTTATGCAAATAACAGAACCTTGCTTGCTGAAACGGAGGAAGACCTGAACTGTGTGCTCCAGAAGGTCAAGGACTGTAGTCATCAATACTAATTGAAGCTCAACATCAAGAGGACCAAGATTCCCCCAGTAAGCCAACTGGCAGCACCATGATAGATGAAGAGAATGAGATTGTTAACAATTATGGCTTGCTTGGCTCCACAATCAATACTCTTTGCACCAGCAGTCAGGAAATCAAAAGATAAATTACATTAGGAAATTCGGCTGTCAAAAACCTCTCCAGAGTGCTAAAGAGTAATGATGTCAGTCTAGAGACTAAGGTGTGCCTGATCCAGGCCATGGTCTTCACAATTACTTGTTATGCACCAGAGAGCTGGACAATGACTAAGGATGACAGAAGAAGAATTGATGCCTTTGAGTTGTAGTGCTGGAGATGAGTACTAAACATATCATGGACCACCAACAGAACAAACAGGTCTGTTTTGGAGAGGATGAAACTGATGAAACTAAGTTTCCCCCTGAAGGCAAGGATTTTGAGACTCTGTCTCACATACTTTGGGCATGTAGCCAGGAGGGACCAGTCCTTGGAGAAGGACATCATACTTGGAAGAGTGGAGGGACAGCACAGGAGAGGAAGACTCCAGACGAGACAGACAGACACAATAACTGGGGTAATAGGGGGTAGGTCTGTTGGGAGTCAGTGAGACTGGCTCAGGATAGAGCAGGGTTTAGAGGTGTTGTAGAGAGGGTCACTATGAGTTGCAGTCTACTTGACGGCACATAATAACAACATATTGAGTTGGAGCTGACTCACAGCTGAACTCTCCAGTGATTTTTCAGAGGCAGTAAATCACAGGGGGGAGACTGTCCATCTTTCTCCCATGGAAAAGCTGCTGGATTCAAACTGCAAGCATTTGGGCTGGCAGCACACCTCCTTACTATATGCCACCAGAGCTCTCTATGTAATATAAAGGTAAAAAAAGATAAAAGCTTTACTCACTTTCCCTCTCATAAGATCTCAGCCTAACACATCACTCAACATAATTATTTTGAGATTTACCCATATTACAGTATGTATTTATAGACTTATTTTCTTTAGTCTACTATATGTCTATATAGTCTGTTTACCATTTACCTGTTGAGGAACATTTGTGTTCTTTTCAGTTTGGGGCTATTACAAGTAAATCTACTAGGAAAATATTTTCTTAAAAAATATGAATGAGCATTATCTAGCACTTTTTAATAAATTATAGTTATCATTTCACTCTTTTAAGAAAAAAACCCTCAAATCACTGAAATTCATTGCGCTAGAATGTAATCAATGTCATGAATGGATACACAGAAATTAATGAATTGGTGTATGTTTTGTTTCTGTATAGTCTCAATAACAACAAAATAAAATTCCTAAAAAAAATCTCGGAGAGACCCTTTCTACGAAGATGGCGCCGAAAGCGAAGAAGGAAGCCCCTGCCCCTCCCAAAACTGAAGCCAAAGCAAAGGCATTGAAGGCCAAGAAGGCAGTCCTGAAGGGCGTCCACAGCCAAAAAAAAAGAAGATCCGCACGTCACCCACGTTCCAGCAGCCTAAGACGCTGAGACTCCGACGGCAGCCCAAATACCCCCGGAAGAGCGCTCCCAGGAGAAACAAGCTTGACCACTATGCCATCATCAAATTTCCCCTGACAACTGAGTCAGCCATGAAGAAGATAGAAGATAACAACACACTTGTGTTCATTGTGGATGTCAAGGCCAATAAGCACCAAATTAAACAAGCTGTAAAGAAGCTCTATGACATTGATGTGGTTAAGGTCAACACTTTGATTACACCTGATGGAGAGAAGAAGGCCTATGTTCGACTTGCTCCTGATTATGATGCTTTGGATGTTGCCAACAAAATAGGGATCATCTAAACTGAGTCCAACGGGCTAATTCTAAATGCAATAAATTTTTCTCACCATAAAAAAAAAAATCTCAAACCAGTAAGCAATAATTAATACCAAAATTATCTACTTAGTAAACAAATTAATCTCTTATTCCTTAGAGTAAAAGTGAGCTAGAGGGCAATGTTGCTTAATAATTGCAATTCTTTCCAAAATATGTTTTATATATACATTATGTTTTTAAAAGAAAAAAAGATATATTCCCTTTACTTTCACAGATTGTGTGTGTGTGTGTGTGTGTGTGTGTACACACTATCAAATCGGATCTTACTGGTACAGGAGACTGCTCCTCCTTCTCCAGCAGAGCATCTGGTGGATTTGAACCACATTCCACTGGGATTAGAAGTGCAGCTTCTTGCCACTAGGCCATCAGAAATCCATGTCACTGGTTTTTTTAATTGCCTTTTAATTCTGGGTTGTAGTTTATATGCATATTAACAATATGCAGGCTTCTTCACTTTCCACATAGCAAAAAGTTATTTCATTCTCACAGTAAATCATGAAATTACATTTATGAATTTTGGAGCACGTAGGAAACCTTTTAAAAGTGATCCAATTCCCTTATATTGTCTCACTACCACAATCAGTATCAGAACCTACTTTATTTTTCTAGAAGGGAGAAAAAAATCACATTATCAGTATTAGCCAATGAGAAGAGCTCTTGCTTTTCTATTACATTTCATCCATTTGCAGTCAACTCAGAAGAAAGGAGCCTAATTACATGCCAGGGACTTAGATATTCATACCTGCTTGTATGCTCTAACTCTTGTTGAACTAAAAACTTTCTGAGACCGGCAAAGTCCAGAGCTACTGTAGCAATAGCTCCCACAGTTCTCACAACAGTTCATGGTGAGGTCGTTGGTACAGTGAAATTTTGAAAAACAGGCATCACTACAAAGCCTATGTACCACATTTTGATATTTAACTTCAAATCGAATCTAGGAAAAAACAAAAAGTGCATATACAAATTAAGTATAAAACCAAAAAAATCAATGCCTCTGTTGTCAATTCCAACTCATGACTACCCTCCATCTGAGGTTTCCGGGGCTGTATATCTTTACAAAAGGAGACTGCCCATCTTTCTCTCAGAGCAAGTGGTAGCTCTGAACCACTGATCTTTCAGTTAGCAGCCCAACACATAATACACTACATCATCTGAGCTACTTAAAGTACAGCTAATTAGTAATCTTTAAGCAGAACGCCAACAAAGTAAAAAGTAACTTACATCAGCATTCTTCTGACACATACTGCATTTAGCTGAAATGTTACTGGTGTAGATGGTAACAACAGGCTTTTTCTTTAGTTCATAAGAAGATAGGCATGACTGGCTGCAAAAATCTTTGCTAAGAGAAGAGTTTTCAGATCGGGTTGTGATCACATCCTTTGGACTGCAAATACATCTAAAAATAAGCAACAAAAGGCAAAATGAAAGCTGTTCATCACAATTGTAATTTCCTCCTCTTTGTGAGCAAAAATAACTACATTTACTAGGGGCAGCTATTGTATGGTAGAAAAAGACCCTGGACAAGGCATCTGCGAAAAACTGGGTTTCATGATTAATTGTGTAATTTATCAGCTGAGTAGCAATGAGTGAGATAATTACTGTTTTAATTTACTCATGTATAAAATGGGGTTTATAATATCCCATTCATAACTGTGGTTAGGGAGAATTTTATTTAAAATATAGCCAGCCAGATGCTTATGACAAAATATAAGATTTCTAGTTCCAACCAAGTTTCATCCACTGAAATCACAAAGACTAGAATCTAGTCATTCACAACCGCAAACCACAAGGTAGTTGTCCTCCTGCTGGTCAGCAAATGTCAAGAGTTGGACAACACAAGGAATAAAACGGTAAAAATTTTAAATGTGAGTTTTAATAGTTAAAAAATGTAAATGAATTATACTACAAGTTCATTAGATCAGCCTGATGTATAAAACTCAGCTATAACTGAAGAGATCAAAGAAAGAGATTACATAACAGGCTAGTAAGGCATGATCAGAGGTCAAATGGAAGCAGTATGGCAGGAAGAACACAAATTCTTTAACAATTCTGATATGCCTAGGGTTACAGTGTTAGAGCTAACTGGTGCAATAAACACTAGCAGTAATGCCCAAGTTAAACACAGACTCATTATTACTATTCTTCTAATCAACATAAAAACTGAGGGGGGGGAGCTCTTAATTAAGAATACCAGTATATACCATGAATACCATATGATATTAACCATATACTAATTACAATAATGTATACCAAGTACTTTCTACATGTCAGACATTGTCTCAACAACTTTACTCAAATTATCCAATTATCAGAAACACTCTGAAGTATTTGTATAATTCTCATTCACAGACAAGGAGATTGAGAAAGGCTAAATAGTTTGTCTACGTCAGAAAGCTGGTCAATGCTGCAGACAAATCATGCAGCGTACATCTAAAGTTCATGGAGTGAAGTCAATCCACAACACCGCCTCCTAACTTGTACTTTTATTACATGGACTGTACTATGACAAATGACATGAAAAAACTAACAACAATAAAGATCTTAAAACTAGAAAGATTTGGATAAAAGTCCAAAGAGGGAAGGGAAGGGAAGAGGAGCACTGAGGGAGTGGAGATGGGGAAAAATCACAGGGTCAGAGAGTCTGGTAAGCGGAGGAAGGGAGTGAAGAAATTAGGATAGATCTAGTAAGAACCTGAAAAAGCGGAGTGATAGTGGGTACAAATTAACAGTGATTAATTTTATAAAACAGAGCATATGGGAATGACTGTATGAAACACTATATGAATGAAGGAACGTATGGCATACAAGGTACATAAGGGAGACACATGTATGAATTTTAAATGCAAACCAATATAAAATAATAAAATTAGAACTATGCCAGTGTATCTCAGAAACCGAGGGATGCGCTTTAATTTTGAAAAGTGATTTTTCTATTAAAAACAGAGTCAAAAAAATTCTATTTGAAAACTCAAACTCACTGGCATCAAATTCTAACTGATTCATAGCTGATTCTCCAACAGGTTTTCTGAGGCTATAAATTGCACAGAAGATTGCCCATCTTTCTCCCATGAAGCCTCTGGTGGGTGTGAACCACAAGAGGGGCTCCACCTTTAGAGTAGCAGCATTAACTCCCTACAGCAACAGAGCTCCCCGGTATTTGATAAGCAATGACATAATGTAAGTAAACCAATGAGGATGACTTTAATTAAAAAGTGTGTCCATAAACAGGAATGCATTCCAAGTGAGAATCTTACTATTTTTCTTAGAAAAACTGTATTTCTAGAACAACATGGCCCCAAACCTTTTTTCTAAATTCTCTTTTAATTTACAAACACCAGACTAATTTTTAAATATTTTATAGTAAAATCTCACACACAGCAAACGTGACTGAGGTTAATGACATATATTGATATGCATGTTGTTCTCTTAAAAGTGTTCACTCTTGTCAGTGACTTTTTTAAAACAACAGTTGTATTATCATTAATTTTTTTTCCTTCTGAGCCTACAAAACATTCCTTTAGACTAGACTGAGTGTTAGTATCTTTTCATCTTGAGTCTGAATTTTGTAAATTGCCGGAAGTTACTTGGTACCTTTATCACTAGGTTATTAGTGGCTCGTGAATTTGAATGACTGACCTTTGGTCAGCAGTCCAATTCATACACACTTGAACACATTATGATGACAAAAGGCAAATTATTTTGGCCTGTATTTCAAGAACTTTTGCAATAACTTAGTTTTAAATTACTATTACCAACAATTTCAGGGTAAGAGGGTGGTTATACAATTCTCACAAATGGTCTGGTATTTCTTTACACAGTAAAATTTAAACTTTAAAAAAACAGCTTTAGCCAATACTTTTAAGTCACTTATATAATGCTGCAAAACTTCAGCCTTTGCCAACTTATCAACTGGCTAAAAAAAAATTATGTTTCAAAGAAATGTGTTAAAGTAGTAATCATTCACTCAGTGCCACTTAGTTGGAACAACCCATAGCCAACCTTCCACTGGGTTCCCAAGGCTGTAAACTGCATGGGAGGAGACTGCCTATCTTTCTCCCACAGAGCCAGTGCTAGATTCGAACCATCAGAGATGTGGTCTTTGGATCATCAGCACAACTCCCTATGACTATATAGCCAGAGCTCCCTAAAGTAACAATAATATGCTCAATGAACACTATAAACACCAAAAAATATAAAAGGGGTATATTAAGAATTTTATACTTCAAACAGTTTGTGCAGGTTTTCTTAGGAGGAGATGGTAGGCAGACAGGTGAAGAATATCCAGTGATGCACCGTGTAGAGCAAAAGAGCTGCTTGGATCCTGTCTTGTGATACGCCGTTTGCCCCTTATAAAGAATTTTTTTACAACCAGAACAAAAAACCTGAACTGAGGAATGCAATGTATTTTGACCAGATGATGGAAGAGAGTGCTGAAAGCTTGGAGTCAGCTGTTGAGCTATCAAAACAAAGTAAAAGGAAAAGTTAGTAACGCCACCAACACATTCTCCTTTTTCCCGCAAGACAAACTTCCTCAGTCTCAAAATTCAGTATTAACAAGGCAATCAAACATAAACTCATTGCCATCAAATTGAAAGCAACTCTGCTGAACTTCCAAGTAGATTCCTGCAGGCTATAAATTGCACCAAGGAAACTGCCCATCGTTCTCCTATATGGCTGGCAGTGGATTCAAAACACTAGAGAGGCATCACCTTTGGGTTAGCAGGGCAATTCCCTACCAACAACATCACCAGATAGTCCCCTAATGAGGCAATAAGCATTTAAAAATAAGATACCAAGTTTTACCATGCCCCTGAATAAGAACTGCATTTAATATTATAATCCAGGACAAACATACATTCAGGTGCATGTATATGTACTTAATATAATCCAGGACACATACAGTTTCATGAATACTTTTCCTTACCTAAAGCCCTGCACTCTGACATAATCTTATTCCTTCATTTTTCAAAATGTTACTCAAGACTATCTGCAGTCTGAAAACACTTCTTTAAAAAGACAGAAAGATTTAACTCAAGGAGATGCTTTCCCACAATTATGCTCAACTCAACTCATTACTGTCAAGCCGAAACTGATTTGTAGCTAAACCTTCATTGGGTTTACAAGGCTATAAATCGAACCACTCCTGGATTCAAATTACCCGGCAGGCAGGCAGGCAGGTAGGCAAGCAGGCATGGCCTTTGGATTAGCAGTGCAACTCCCTACTCACGAGGTGCCAGGGCTCCCTTTAATTCTACTTTTGTTGTTATGCGCCCTCAAGTCAGAACCAATTCAAAGCTGACCCTGACTACAACTGATCCTCCAGTGGGTTTTCACAGGCTGTCAATCACAGAAGAGACTGCACAGCTTTCCATCTAAGAACAGCTGATAGACTCGAATTACCTGATTTTGGGTTAATCGTGCAACTCCTTGCCCACTAGGCCACCAGAGTTCTCTCAATTATACTTTACTGTAATTAATGTATATTTCTACTTCTTACCAAGATGACTGTCATTGCCTGAAAACACTGCACTAATTTTCAATTCGCTTTCTTGAGTTTTTGGCAGTTGGGAACACTCATATTCCTTTAAAAAAAAAGACAGAGAAATATAATTATAGTTTATCAAGGTAAACTAGAAATTTGAGCAACAATGAGCCTATTATATTTATCTTTTCTACACTGAAATTTTAACAATCTTCACAAATACTTCAAAATCAAAATTTACAAGTTTGAGTAGATTTAATGTTTACAAAGAAAATCTTAGAGAACTGGGTACTGTTTCATAATAGTTGTATCTACTTTCCAATGTAATCTTGAATAAACAGGAGCAGAAAGATAATCCAATGCCGAGAATTACTTTTGGCCAATAAGTAGTATACAGTGGACCAAGAAACAATATCATCGTAAATAGAGAAAAGATTACAGTTGTCAAGGATTTCCGTTTACTCAGAATCACAATCACAATCAACACCCAATGGAAACTGCAATCAAGAAATCAAACAATGTGTTACAACTGGCAAAACTGCTGCCAAGGACTGTTTTAAAGTGATAAAGAGCAAGGATGTCAGTTTAAAGACCAAGGTGAGTTAGACTCAAGTCAGTATATTCAACTGCTTTACACGCCTACGAAAGGTGGACAATGAGTAAGGGTGGCCGAAGAATTGATGCCTTTTAATAGCAGTGCTATCAAAGTATATTGAATTTTGGACTATATTACACTAACTTTTATAAATATCATTCCTATAAAATAAACACTATATAAGCATGTAATAGATAAAATATAAATTTTATGAAAATAATTGATACTAAATTATATAAATACATTCTAAGTTATACAAAAGAATCCTGTATCTATATTGCAAGAAGCGCAGCAAGACTTCCTTAGAGGAGAGGATGGTGAGATTTTTTTTTCTTGTAGCATGTAATTTTTTTTTTATTTTAATGAACATTTAGAGACTTTGGATTTCCAGTCATTCACTGTTGGATTTTTCTCTCTGCCCACCGCTCCTCCCCTCCCCCAGTCCGGTCTTCTCTTTGAAAAGCAAAAGAAAAATTCTTTCATTGGTATACAATCTCCCTCTCCTGTCCCAAGTTCACTCCATTATGTAGCCTTCATTCTGGACTCTTGTCATGACCATAATACCCAATCATATATCATTTTTAAACAGTTCTCTCGCTCATCTGTTTCAAGGCAGTTTATCCCATCTTTCTCAGTCTTACCCCAACCCTGATGTCAGTCCTATTCTACAACAGTTGCACTATGCAGTATTTGTCCTTTTGTGACTGAGATACTTCACGCAGCATACTGTCCTCCAGGGTCACCCATTTTGAATATATGTCACGAGTTCCTTGTTTTTCAATGCAGCGTAGTATTCCATTATGTGAATATAGATGATGAGATTTTTAACTTCACATATTTGGGCATGTTATCAAGAGGAGCCAGTCCCTGTAGGGGGCTATCATGCTTTAAAAGTAGGGGGTCAGTGAAGAAGAGGAAGAATTTCAAGGACTTGTTTTGACACAGTTATTGCAGCAACAGGCTTAAGCACAACAGATACTGTGAGGTAATGAAGGATCATTCTGTTATACAGAGCTACATGCCAATGTGGGATGGAGAACACTATCTACAGCGCTTTTATTGACCTAAACATTCACCAAATTATTATCTTAAGCCACAAACTTAATACATTCTTTAACATTTGTTGTAAAATAAACTGTATTAAATTTTTTAAACCTGTATAAAATAAAAATTTTATTTAAAAAAACACAAACACACATGGAGTTTGATTCCAAGTGAAAAGATGAACAATCTCCTCTTGTACAATTTACAAACTCTGAAGACAATTTAAAGCAAAATAGGGTCGAAATTTCTAGTTACGTTCAAAATTCCCTAAATTTATAAGCTAAATGTTGTCAGAACACATCACTCACTGATTAAGAATGATATATATGTGTACACAAACAGGCATAAATTCTATCTTTTAAACATAATCTGTTATCATAAATGTAACTTCTGCCCCAGGTGAGAACCTGAAACAGGAAAAAGACATTCGCTAAACCCAGGAAATCCAAGTAAAGTATGAATTTTGGTGGATGAGGATGTATTGATACTGGTTTGTTAACTAAATGTTATAATCCAGAAAATTTGATATGGTGGGTGTGGAAACTATTATTACATTTTTTTTCTCTAAAACTTTCTTAAAATAAAGAAAAACTGTTATTCAAAACTTGAAAAACTATAAACCATCTTAAGTTATAATGTAAGAAACCATATTTCATACCCTGTTTTATAGCCCTCCAACTTTTTTCCTAAAAGAAACCCCCATCAACAAATGAATGGAGAGAACGAGGGTATATTCACACAATGGAATACTAAAAACCAGATGGTTATTGTTATGAGCCATCAAGTCACCTTTAACTCATTGCAACCCTATGCACAATAGCCCTAAACTCTGCTCTATCCCATGCCAATCTTATTGTCCCCAACACACCTATCCCCATTACCCGAGTCAATCAATACATCTCATCAAGGGTCTTCCTCTCCTGTGCTGTCCCTCCACCCTCCCAAGCATGACGTCCCTCTCCAAGGACTGACCCTGCAGCATGTCCAAACTATGTCAGATGAAGCCTCAGAATCCTTGCCTCCAAGGAACAACCTGGTTTCACCCTCTCCAGGACAAACTTGTTTGTTCTCCTAGCAGTCCATGGAGTACTCAGTACTCTTCTCCAGCATCAGAGCTCAAAGGCATCAATTCTCCTTCTATCATCCCTAGTCACTGTCCAGCTCTCTGACGCATAGCAAGTAATTGCAAAGACCACGGCCTGTATCCAGTGCACCTTAGTCTCCAGACTGACATCACTGCTCCTAAGTACTTTGGAGAGGTCTCTGACAGCACACTTTCGCAGTGCAATTCGTTTGTGGTTTTTTTTATTTTTATTTGCTGGCTGCTGGTACGAAGAGTGTTGGCTGTAGAGCCAAGCAAATGAAAGCTGTCAACAATCTCAAGTCTTTTCACCATGTATCATGATGCTGCCTATCAGCCCAGTGGTGAGAATCTTCTTCTTGATGTTGAGCTTTAATCCTATTGAAGGCTACAGTCCCTGACCCTCCACAGCAAGCGCTTCAGGTTCTCACTTTCAGCAAGCAGGGGTTTTGTGAAAAAAACAAGGAACTAATAAAATATTACACAATATGGATGACCCTGTAAGACATTGTTGCTGTTAAGTGCCGTCAAGTCGTAGTTAACTTGTAGCAACCCTAGGCAGGAAAGATCTGAACACTTGTATAACTTTCATCGTTTTTCCAAGTTCACAGAGTTTCCAGAGGCAAGCTATTTCAGAAGTGGATGCCACTCCTGCTTCCAAGCTTGTTTGAACCGAGGAGCTCCACCAAACACTGTCCACGATGGGTAAAAATATTTATTTTTTTTTTTACAAACCAGATAAACCTATCTTGCAGTCCTTTATTTTAAGATTAGGATCAATAGGGAAAGAAAGGAAGACCTTCAACCAGGTAGAATGACACAGGAACTGCAACAATGGGCTCAAGTGTGTCAGACACTGTGAGGATGGCACAGGCTTCAGATCTAGTGCTCACATGGTCTCTAGGATATATGCTCAACTCTACAGCACCTGACAACAACACCAGGAGTATGTCAAAATCATACTAACACATTTCAAAATAAAAAAAGCTAAAAAAGAAAAACCACCTTACTTTCTGAAACAATGGAGAAAATAAATGGCATTATCTCTTTATGATTTATCTTTAATCTCCCTACATTCAGCAGTGACTGACATGCCTATGGTCATTAGCAAATTTACTTCTGAAATTTATTTCCATTCTTAAATGTCAAATATTAAGAACCACTGCATTAACTGACCCATGATATACATTTTGGCAAGAAACAAGATACTGCCTTTAAGACAAGGAAGCATTATGCTCTTTTTTTTTTACAGATGAGGAAAATGAGACATAAAGCTTCTCAGTAACTTGCCCAAGGTTACAAAGAATAGTTGTGAAAACGTGAAAACAAACCTCTATCTCTCTATTCTAAAACTCATACTATCTTCTTTATAGTTAAATTCATTTAAACCCTGGCCTCCAAGCACAATTAAATTCCCCTCTTGTAGTCTCTCCCATTTCTGTTCTCTCATAGTATTTAACATAAAACACTTTTTATAATTTAACATCTAAGATACACACAAAAATAAAACTGTAACTTTAACTGGTTTGGGACCATAAAAGCTTTTTCACCTCTGCGAATTGAACACTCAGAAGTCAACAAAATACAAGACTCTATCCTCTTTAACTAGCAGCAGCAGCAAAAGTAATCCTGGCTCTTAAACAAGAGGTTATTTAACCTTTCTTAGTTAAATAATGAAGAATATCTGTAGGATAAACAGAACAGTATTACCTAACCCATAGGACCATTTCAACGTGAATTCATTACCATCAAGTCAAATTTAACTCAAAGTAACTCTCCACTGGGTCTCCAAAGCTGCAAATCTTTATTGGAGGCGACTATCTTTCTCCAAGGAGGGTCTAGTAGATTCGAACCACTGGTGTTATAGTCAGCAGCCTGACATGTTAGGCACTATACCAAGGCTCCACAGGACTATGAAAAAAAGCTATAGTAATACAGAGTGTTTGTTGGTAAGTACCGTCAAGCCAAACACAACT